TGTGTGCCTGTCTGTCTGACACCCCCCGCTGTTTTACACCCACTCGGGGGAAAATGATTTCCCTCGTGTTGGCATCACCTCCCCGTGCTGCTGTTCCTTGGGGCTGCGTTAAAGAGTGTAGTGTCCTTTAAGGTGTGTTGATGTAAAAGTCGCAGAGGTTACGTATTCTGGATGGCCCACTTTGAAGAATTCGGAAGATTAACCTTTCTAGGTTTTTCAGGTTCTCTGTAAAATACTAGGAATAGACAGCAGATCACTGGCAAGAACCTTGAAGAAGCTGCTCAATATAAGGAAAGGACAAGAGATATCCAAACTTTGTTAAATTATGAATAAGAAATTTAGTATTGCTGCTTCAACACTGAGGAAATGAGTAACAGGAGAATTGATAGTTTTAAAGTCTTCCACCATCTTGTGTCCTGTTCTAGATTTATCTTTATTTTCGGCTTCTCTGATACACAACCACACAACACTAGCCTTTCAGATATTTTTGCCTCTTCTTTACCTTTCTGTCATGTTTTGCTGTCACTGGTCAAGTCTCGCTAATTGAACTCAGTGTTCTGGAAAGTCACTGACAATATGCTAAATAATTTGAGGGGGGGAATCAATCATTACAAAATTCCTACTATTTCAAAGTCAGAGAAAACCTGTTGTTTCTGAAAAGACAGCGTAGAGAATCTTTCAGATGCTTTCTCAATTATATAAATAGAGATAAATATATTTTTTTTCATTTTATAAATAGATCATATACACTGAAAACCTCACCATTAATTTCTTAGTGGATTTCTGTCTGACATTCACTAAACAGACACAGTAACCTGGAGCTGATAACCCCGTAACATCACAAAACTGTTGTTATTACCAGAACCATAGTCTGTGGCAATTGCTCTGGTTTTCACTCAGGAAAACTCCTGTTTTCCTCTTTCCCTGCCTTTCTAGTACCACTGAAGTGAAATGGTTGGTCCTGGCCAGCAAGGAAGGTGCTGAAGTTGATAAAAGGCAGGTTTGTCCTGGCAGCAGTAATCCTGCAGTTTTTAGTTTCTTGTTCCAGCACTTCCATTGGTTTTGAGGAAAGCTTTGCTCCCTGAGGATGCCATCACAGACAGTGACACTTTCACCACTTGAGATGCCATGAGTGTGTTCTCCTTTGTCCTCCGATAAGGAGTCCCTTATTTAGAAACTGCTAGTTGCAAGACAGTTTTTATCTCCTGGATGAACTTGCCAGGAGCCAGCTCTGACTTTAAAAGACTTCCAGGGACTTCTCTATCTATGCAAGCAGTACCAATCTAATTCAACTGGTTTTAAAAAAACAACTTAATTCATTGCATCTTTGTTGCTTAAATTAGTGGAAGTGTGTATTTAATTTAGTTGTGTTTGGTGAATACAGAAGCTCTTAGCAAAGACTCTTGAGTTTCTGGGGATTTAATACAAAGTGCTGCAGCATACAAGAACCAGTTTAAGGAAACACTGCCTGGTGTATCATCTTTCCTTTCAGCAGAGCAGGCTGCAGTGGGACCACAGCAGCAGACACTCATGAATTATTTACTGTGTTCTCTGGGCTTTAGAGCATGGGCTGTGCACCATAGGGGAACTTTAGGTTTTGGTTTTTAATTGTAGGTAAGTCACATCTGCATGGAACCCAAGTGTATTTTATGGAGCTATGAAAAAATCCCTGCCCTATTTTTTTTCCCCCTCTGGCTACAAGGCATCATTTCTAAAGCTTGTAAGTCAGACCATCTGTGCAGTTTTCAGTTGGGAAACACTAGTAATCAAATAGCCCTACTAATGGAAAACAAATAACACAAAGCCTTTTCAACCTTCAAGAGCTTTTATGTGTTCTTTTTTCCAAATGCAGTCTGTTCAGAAGATACTGCCATTGCAAGGACCACCTGACAGCAGATTCTGTGGATTGGGCAGCAGTTTCTAAGAAGACAGTGGGGAGGAATAAAAATAGGAAATTTGGCTATGTTTTTCTTCTGAGCCTCGGGGAAGAGAAGTAATCACTGCACAAATGTCAGGGCGCAGCTGAATTGCAGTGTGTGTGTGTGAATGCTTGTTTCAGCCCACACCAGTGTGAGGAGGAGCCTGCAGCGTGGGTTGTTGGTGTGCCTTGTGAACACGGGGAGGCAATGTGTCTCCAGCAGACCGATATGTCTCCAGCAGACTGGCTGTCTCTGCTCGGCCAATGCTGCAGGCATCGCCAACAGGGACGAAAGCATTCCTCCCAAAGGCTGTTTTTTCTGATTGTGTGTTTTTTTTATTTCAGCCACAGGTTTAAACCAATATAGAAAACTTTCCATGGACAGTGCTTTGTTAAGTGGTAGAAATCCAACTTGTTTCCTCATTTGGGGATTTGTTGTTTTCTGCTGTGTGGTCTGGAGCACAGTGTGTACCCCTGCAAGGAGTGACAGTCCCACTTGAGTGAGAGAGTGAGCTGCGGAGAACTTGGTGAGACTTGAGTTTTCCCATATGTATTATCTTCCTTATGTACAAGTGGAAGGCCAGGTAGCTGTGGAAGGTTTCTCCCCTGCTCCCATATGAAAACTGCAATATCCTACTGTGCTGGGGCTGGGACTCCCAGTCCTGAGCAAGCTGCTCTTTACACCAAAGCAGCTTTGAACAGCTGATGTCTCACTCATGCTCTGCTTTTCTCAAGGTTCTTGTGATATCCTCAGTTACCAGAATCTTCTGATCTACACTGAATTTCTGATGTTGAAAAATAGTTTTCCCCGTTACATGGAAACCCTCAGCTATCTGCTCTGTGCCCTTCCTGCTTGAGAATGGCTGTTTCCTTCTGCGTGCGTGGATGCTCATTAGCTCTCAGTGCAAGAAGCTGAAGGGACAGCCTTACTCAAGAGCAGAGTTCAGCCTGCAGTTTTTAAGGGTCTGGGCACAGCAGGGGTGGGTTCCTCTCCCCATCAGTTTACCTCAGTCTGTTCAAGAGTAAAGTATTTCCTCCATTACATAAAAAGTATCGCTTCACAGTCAGGGAGACTTGCATGTAATCTCTGGACAGAAAGCAAGCAGGCACTTGAACAGCATCAATGTCTTGGGGTCAAATAACGAATGTGAAATACCAGCTCTGATACTGAGAACTAGAAGGAACTGTTATTAAAGGTTTCTTCTAATTTGTCCTCACCTGCAGAGTTAAGTTTTGTTGTGATGTTGGATCCTACGCAAAGCTGAACATAGCACGTCCTGGATCTACAGAGCCTTGTGAGAGGAACATGTTAAACCTGCACCCTAAAGCATTGTCTTGGTAAAACGGGGATCTGTAGTGAAGCCCTGTCTGTGCACTATGACTGCTTCAAATCACCTAGAAATATGACTGTACATCTCCAAAATGCCACCTGCCAGGAAAAGGAGTTTTCTAGCCATAGGGAAGGGAGAAGTTTCTTATTGCTGGAATTGAGATTTTTCAGACCTTCCATCCTGCCTGTTCGGGGCAGCGGTGATGTTTCCACCTCCTCACTGCCTGGTGCAGGTTCCTGTTTCTCTTCTGCCAGGCATAGGCCTTGTTCACCACCACTTTGTCACTCTGTACTTCACCACATACAACAAAGACTCCTGCGTGAGTGCCTCGCATGATGTTGTGGGCGCACGTGGCATCTATGTTCAGCCACTGCTGGAGCCTGGCAGGGATTTCAGTTCTGAGGAGTGGGCCATGCTTCAGCACCTCTACCTTGGAGGGGTCCAGGTCAAAGTCTGAGATGGTGGTGGTGATGTTCTTCCTCAGGATTCGGATTTTCACTGCTGCAGGGGTTGGGAGAAAAGCTGTTAGTTCTGTTTAGTTTTCATAGTTCTAACCTACTTCAACACATAGAGCCAAGCCCAAGGCTTCTCTGCTGTCTCTGTAATGTGGGGAGGTATCTGTCCAAGCTTTTGCAATTGCAGTGAACTTATAAAAGTTCTCGTTTGAGGTTAGTTTCCAGTACTGAACACTGTTCTTAGAATCACTGAATTATTTCGGTTGGAAAATACCTCAAAGATCAAGTTCAACCACTGCCCAGTTCACCACTAAGCCATGATCTAAAGTGCCACATCTCCATGTCTTTCAAATACCTTCAGGGATGGTGACTCAAGCCCTTCCCTTGCCAGCCTGTTCCAGTGCTTGATAATTCTTTTGGTGAAGAAATTTTTCCTATTACCCAATCTGAATGTCTCCATTGCAGTTTGAAGCCATTTCCTCTTGTTCTGTGGGAGAAAAGACCTCCTTCTCCTTCTCAATCCATTTACCTCCTAAGAGTAGTGAAGATTTATCAGCATCACTGCAGAAATTCTGGAGGAATCATGGGCACAAGCAAGCACATGCATCAAAGTCCTTCCTGGTCTTGTGCAAATTACTTGACTTTTCTCTAAGCAGGGATTTCAGGAAGTGACATGACTGACAGCTGCTCAGGATTTGTAACCTTTCCTCTTTTATTGAAAAATGTCTTTGTTTTCCAGTATGTGTGCCTGAATTCAGGACAATATGTTGAAAACTCTGTGCCATCTGATTGAGCAGAGCCAGTGCTGCCACTTGCTTGGACTATGAGAGGGAGAGTCACAATACTAGAATGACACTATTAAAGTTTGAAATAGCTGACATGGAATTTGCTAAAGATTCTTACAGGCATTGATTGAAATGTTTGTCTGCAAGAGAAAACCAGAATACTGCTTGTTTTTAGTAGTCACAGACCAAAACCAAATCAGAGCCCAAATCAGAAATAACCCAGGTCTTCACTTCCAGTGCTGCCAGGAATTGGGTCCTCCTGCTACCTCACAAGTAAGGTAGAAACTGAAATTGCCTGGGATCTGCTGTAAAAGCTGCAGTTTCTCCAAGTCAGTATGTTATGGCAAAGCTATTTTCTGTCCATGCCACAGCTTGGCTGCTGGAGGGAATGGCAGCAATTGAGAGGAAAAGGAGGGTACTCACCAAAATCGTTTGCACAGAGGCTTTCCAGGATCTCCCTGGCAGTGCTGGCCTCCTCAAGCTCACAGTCCTTGCAGCTGGCTCGGGGCACTGCTGCAATAGAAATTAGGTTATAACACCCTTGTCAAGCTTCACTGGAAAAGGCACAATGAACTTTTGAGATCTGCAAGTGGTGGCTTGCTGTTTCTTAGTGATGCATCTTTCTGAGCTACGCAGGCCGTGGAGAGATATCTCAGACAAGCAGGGTGGGAAGTGTTAGACTCTCCTTCCTGTGACTGGGGCAGACACCACTTGTCGTGCTTTGTTCGGGCTTGTGTGAGTTGCTGCATGTTAAAGCATCAGTGAAAATACTTAATGAAGGTCTCCTAATTTGGATGAAAGAGCAAAACCAGTGGTATGGCCACATGCCATCCAGTGATGCTGAAATTATGTTGAAATGTCTGTTCTCCCCTTAACTGCTCTTGAATCTCCCCCAGTGTTCATCAGTATATGGGTGTTAATTGAGTCCTTCAGATAGACTTTTTTCCAGTGTAACTCATGTCTGCAGAGGCTTATGTCCCTTCGTGGTGTTTCTAATGTTTAGAGAGAAGGCTTGCAAAACATTTCTTTTTGTGTATTTTTAAACCCTGGACACAGCTGAAAGATCGAGGCTTCAGCTCCATAGCTCCAGTGGAAGCACATCTCGCTGCTGGGAGTCTGCACTCCATGAGCTCTCCCACTGTGCCTGGGCCAGAGGCTTTGCAGCCTTTCCCTTCCCCTGCCCCAAGTCCTGTGGGGTCTAAGGGCACCCAGGGAGCTAATGAATACAGCAGAGAGAGGAACAAGCCACAGTCAATGTTACGCTAATTTTCTAGACACAGTTCCCAGAGAGAACAAAACTAGAATTTGTATTTTTTTTTGTTTTTAAATACAGCTTAAAACCAGAAATAAGCAGAATAGAAACAAGTCATAGGATCATCCTTTTGAGCTTTCAATGTTACGTATGGGAAAATACATAAAGAAAAAAACCTCTTACTTCTCTTGCTTGAGGAATTTTCATCCATGGAGACTGCTGCAATGCACAATTCATGATCTGCAGGGAACTTGTTGCAGTTCAGGATTTCAGGCCAGGGATAGCCATAACAAGCCATGACGGGCGCACAGCTTCTCTTGACAGCTTCGCAGAGGCTGCGGCAGGGATAGATGAGCCTGGGGAGGGGATAGGTATTCAGCACCTCTGTGTGCCTGGCAGGAGGCTGAGGGTCGAGCCCTAGCACCACTGCTGCTACACAGGGCTGAGTGGAAGGGTTAGCAGGCAGTATTGGGATCTTTGACTTTTTTGTGAGCATTCAAGTCCAGGAATGCAAGGAATTTCTCAGGACAGGAGGGATGAGGCAAGTTGCCAGAAGCCCTTCACCTCCTTAGTGATCTCTAGTTGTGCAAAGACTGCTTACCTTTACAGGTGCCTGATTACACACCAAATTTCCTTTGCAGCTCTATACTTTGAGAGCTGCACCTCAGAGTTGGGGATTTCCTTCTGCTGCTGGAACTGTTGGGAAACAGTTGGGAAACTGAGAAACTATATACTTGGGCTAGGAGCTGGGGTGAGGGGCTGCACAGGAGGTAGGAGGTGAAGCTGGTGTTTTCCAGCAGCTACTGCAGTGTATGAGGGGCTGGCCAGGGCATGTGACGGCAGTGCCTGGGGTGAAAGAGCAGTAGAATCCCAAGGAGGGAACGTATTTCTGCTCCTGTGGTATGAAATGCTCATGTTTCGCTTTCAGAGGGTTGTTCCATGCTGAGTAATCCAATTGTCCTTTGCCGAGAGCAGCAGTGCTGCTTCTTGGGGACCGCACAGATCCCATTGAATGCATTTTCTCTCGGGAGGCACATGTAGTTGTGCTCCTGCAGGGAGTTAACTGTTACAGCTGAAATAACTCATAAAAACATCTTACCTGTCCAAGCAGATCGGTGCAAAGAGGGAGCAGAGGAAAATCCTAGCATCTGGGTGGCACTCCCTGGCCAGCAAGGGCAGCCAGCTGGAAGACTGCTGGATGACTTCTGTCATGGTCTCATGCTCCAGCAGGTTGGGAATCCTCATCTCGGAGTAGCCGATATCGTAGCACAAGGCCATGCGGTGTGGGATGGGCATGCAGCTGGAGGATCTCCTCAGGTAGCTTGCCCAGACACCTGGAGAGCCCCAGAGCAGCAGGCGTGCCAGGAGACCCAGTAGCCACGGGCCACCCAACCTCAAGGGGTGCCTGCGAGGGGACGTGACCATGCTTGGAGCAAGTGAACCAACAGCACACTGCAGACTGAACTCCTCCTGACTGTGGAATGCCTTTTATAGCCTACCAGCCACCTCTTTGTCAATCCATCCTCATTAAGTGCGGCCCTTTCAGAGCCCTCATGGGGAAGACAATGCTCCAATTTTCATTTGCCAGCGGCCCTGATTGTTTGTATTTTAGCAGGGGTTTGGCTTAGATCAGCAGGTGTGGAAATGAGGGCAGTTGGGGAGGGATGAATGACTTGGCCCATGTGTCTTGGAGCTCTTTCAGCGAAGATTGAATCTCGGTTTGACACCAGTGCTCCAACCCATCCCCTTTCTCTTGCTCCAGGATTAGTCATTATTTCATAAACCCTAATGTTTTCCTCTCTTTTGTTTTTTGTGAAAGCAATCAAGTGTTGCTTAAAGTCAATTAGGAGGCATTTGTTTAGCTGGAGCTATTGTTGAGCAGGCAGGGAGATAGGATGGTCTCACAGCCACAAGTTAACCGTTTAGGAGAGCTGGGGGCAGAGAGGAACTAATTTACAGCTGTGGAACTAAGTTGTTTGCAGACGGGATTGGCAGCACTCAGCTGGAAACCCTCTCACCTTGCAACCTGCATGGCCACACACTTTCCAGTTAACAGAATTTCTGCTTCATTCTGAAATCCCGTTACTACCTCTGAAGAGTGGAATTGTCCTTCCTCCAGCACGTAATTAAGGTTCCATAAGCCATCATTATTGTAGCCCAGTTTGGGGAACTGGAAATACTGGGGGCGTTGGTTGCCAGTGTATGTGGTTCATTTGGACCTGGTGCTGTGCCATGAGATTCAAACTGGTCAGTAGAAGCTCCAGCTCGGAAGCATCCTCTGGCACAAGGACCCTGTGCTGCCTGTGGCGGAAATTGTTTCCTCGGAGTGTGTTAAGGATACAGCTGGCTGCATTGTGTTCCTGGGGCTTCCCAGGAACAGCTCGTTTTCTACAGGGCTGGTTCTGGTCTGTGCTTAGCAGGAAGCCAACTGCTTATTGATAGCTTGAGCCGATAGGGTTGATTTCAGGTCATGAAAGTAATTAATTTTTTCCCTCCATTTGAGGATTGCTGCTGTAGTTGATCTATAATGTGTCCTTGGCACATACCTGCAGGAATTCTAGGAGCTGCAATTTGGAGAGAAAGACCTTGGGTCTAGGAGCACTTAACCTCTCCTACACTGATGGTTTTTCTTTCCCTTTTCAAGTCTCAGCAGCTGGTAACAAGGTCACCATAGCTGTGACAGACACCAGCCAGGAGGATCCTCTGAACCTCCTGGACCACAGTCTAAGTGTGCTATGCAATGGGACCTTGCCAGTGCTTTCCGAGTGTGTGCCCAGTGTAGCATGCAGCTAGAAGTCTCCTAGTCTCATGGTCATCAGTGGATTTCTCTGTGCTTTAATTTGTTTGGTTTGTGGAATTACCTGATTGCTGCTGGGTTTGTGCTGCAAGGGAAAGCTGGAGCTACTTGGGTATGGAGCCTGGCATCCTCCATGTCCAGTATTTTCCTCTTTAATATTGCGTTTGAAGACCACTTTCAATGGGGGATCAAGAGAATGAGTGTGAGTAAGTTAGAATTTTTCTCCTTTCTGTTTGAGTTTCACAGTAGAGCACTGTGCCATGCTCCCCTGAAAGGGATTTGATTTTGTGCAAAGTGTTATCCTGTCCACATGAGAGCAGGGAAGTCTGAAACCCTGGCCATCACCACTGCCCCCTGTAAAGATTTTTGGCCTCCCTTCCGGTAAAGCAGCAGTTCCCAGACTGTGATCCACATGGCACCTTTGAAATGGTAATATGCGGTGATATGCATGTGTTTGTTCACTCCTTTGTCCATTGTGGTATTTGTGAGAGAGTTTAAGGGCTTGACCCCAGGATCCAAACATTTAGGAACTGCTGCTATAAAAATACCTGCCTCCAGCAGCTCAAGTGTGTAGTGTATGCTCTTTGAGAGCCCTTCTGGTGGAAGGGTAGATGTTTTTGAATATCCCAGACTTAGATAATTTCTAAACTTCCCCGCTACCTGTATCGTTTATTTTCCTGAGTCTCCTGCCACCAGCATGGGATCCCACTGTAACAGTTCCTCAGTCTCTGTTGCTGCTCACATTTTTGCTGCAGAGATCCCTGACTTCCTGACAGAGGAGGAGTGCAAGCTCATTGTCCATCTGGCAAAGCTAAAGGGGCTGCAGAAGAGCCAGATCCTACCAACAGAGGACTATGAGGAAGCCATGGAAATGATCGAAATCAGCCAGATGGACATTTTCAATCTTCTGGATCACAATCAGGATGGGAAGCTGCAGCTCAAAGAGGTAGAACGTGGGACAGACTGGGGAAGGTTTGCTGGGGACCCTCTGGCACATCCCCTTGTCAGATGCTCTCTTGACTATTTCCGTGTTTGGGTGGGGCCAGACCCCAGGATATACCAATTGCCAATATACCAATTTGCTTAATTTTATGCCTCAAATTTTGTGCTGGCCTTCAGAATGGAAGTTTCTTGGTCAATGTGCAACAGTTATCATGCTATTGGGAGACAGCAACAGTCCTTGGCAGAACATATGTGTTTTGAATATGCTGGATAAAATGTTCCTGTGCTGTAGGTTGTTGCCTCTTTCTGTGTGTCCTGGGAAGTGAGTTTGTCACGTATGCCTTGCTTTCTGCAGCCTGTGGGGAACTTACTGTGTGAATTCACACACCCCACCAAAGCCACCCCTATTGATGAGCCATGGGGGATAATAAGCCCCTTGTCCATAGCTCTTCAGCACCCTTGCCCTGTATGGCAGGGTGCATCAGGACAAGTACTGACAGTGTCCCTCCTCAGGCTCCCATTTCAGGTGAAGCTGGGAGTCTGAGCCATCCTCTGCACCATGAGTACTGAGGAGTATGGGGAGCTGTGCCAGTGACAGCCCAGGGCAAGGCTACTTTCTCTGAAGGTCAGAGCCTGCTGAGAGCTGTTTAGGCTTCTGCATCTCTCTGTACATGTTGAAGGCAAGAATTTTGTTCCAAGCCCTTACCTCAGACAAGTGAAAAAACAGCTGTGCTCTTTCTACCTCAGGGCTGGTTAATCAAGTCCCAGCGGTCATTTGCCATGACCTAAAGTGGAAATAATAGCACTCATTTGTGACACTGATGATTCTCAATCCAATCGTCTTTCTGCAGTAGTTTGCCGATGCCTGTCTGGCTAATGTACCATGAAGGAGATCCCACCAGGCCTCATGCAGGGAATCTGTAGGGTCTCAGGAGTGCAAGAAACCAGTGGGGTTTTTTGATCCATTTATGAATTTCAGGTGTTGACCCATACCCGACTTGGGAACGGCAGGTGGATGACCCCTGAAAACATCCGGGAGATGTACACAGCAGTCAAAGCTGATCCTGATGGAAATGGTAAGAGCAGCTCCATGGGAATCCCTTCACCATCAGTACCTTGGACATCTTTCACAGCCATGTTGGGGGAGGGCAAGAGCCATGTCCCTGTCCCTTTTTTTCTCTAGCTGAATTCTTTGAAGGGAAGTAGCACTGCCCTAGACATCTTCTCAGGGAAGTAAATGCAGCACTCCCGCCCCTGCATCACCACTGTAGTGGCTAACTGGTTCCACTGCCTAGGCTTGGATCTTGCTGGAGCAGGACCAGACCACAATTCTGCACTCCCTCCCCACTGTCACATCAGCTTTGGTTCATGCACTGCTGTAACAGGATCTTAGGGCTGTGCTTCCGCTCCCCTAGTCTGAGAGTCTGCTCAGGTTCTGACTACAGAGCGCTTCTTATCTGGGATGCACATGTTCAGATACACATTGCATTCCCCCCCTGCTTTCAGGGAGACTTTTGCAGCAGGCCAAGTGGCCTGTATCACTATGAGGGGAGAGTGGAATAAGCGAAGGTGGGGGTGATCTTGTCTGTCAGCCTTTGGCGCTGTCCCCTCACTCTGCTGCTGCGACCTCTCTGTATTCCATGAGGCCACTTCAGCCCCTCCTGCCCCTGGTGTCCCAAGGGCTCCTGCTGGTCCGGACATACACTCTAACCTCTACTGCTCTAATTAGAGTGGCCTCAATTAAGCAGCACTCCATTTCCTAATCAAATTAAGTGAATGCACAAGCTCTACACACTCTCTTCCAGTGACCTGGCATTGAGAGCTGCCTAGGAGGAGCTGCTTTGGACTTGAAGCAGTAGCAGTGTGAATGCATAAATATCCGGAGGGCACCCTGTGCAACTCTCCTCCAGGCTGGTGGCATTCTTGGCAGGGGTATGACTGAGTCCTCAATGGCTTTTCCACCATTCTGGACATTAACAAATGAAAGGTCCTGTTAAAGGGCTATTGGCAGGACCTTGCTTCCAGAGTGCTGCATCCCTCTGTTGTTAGATTGGTACATGACACTGAGAGACCAGGTCACAACCTGGATGTGGCACTGCGTCATCAAAGACTGTGGGGGAGTAAGGGGAAGTGGGGACAAAGAGACACTAGAAATAATAACAATGGATCATTTGGTCATGACCTGAGGACATGGCACCTGAAGAGCTGTCCCTGGTTGACCACTGTGTCTGGTCCTTCCTCCTGCCAGGGGGTGCTGGTGCCCAGGGAGCAGAGCTGGCACCCAGCAGCACTGGGTTTGCTGCCTGAGTGCCTCCTCTCCCAGCCCATGGTGTGTGGTGGGCAGCCCAGGGCAGTGCACTGCATGCTGGTATCAGAGACCTGTGCAAGGCTTCCCTTCTCCAGAAAGAGGAAACAACAAATGTGAAGATTTTCCTGAAGCTGACAAAGGCAAGGACATCCCTTGCTGATTCCAGTTAAGTGCAAAGAAGAAATACCTGTTTTAGGAGAAACTGCTTTTCTATTATTTTACCTATTGCTTTTCTGTTATTTCTATTTACACAAGACCATATTGTCATGTATTCCTCATTTATATTTTGCAATTACACAAATGCAGGAGAATGTACTGCTTATTTTTGATTTGGCTTTTTCTTAATTGCCTTGCAAGGTCATATAGAAAATGTGATCTGAGGTCCCACTCTGTCCTTAAACATGTTGATCTAAATGTCTAACTAATAAGCCTCAAGACATTGGGTGGCACAGACTTTCTTGTGTGTATCCAAGCTATAGTGTCTGTTTCTCTCTTTTGATATATTGATTTGTGTGTTTCAGGAGCTTTTTAAAGTTTAAAATGGTGTTTTGCCTGTCCCAGTTGTGACCCTGCAAAATTCACTTTGGCAGGTTGCTCTGTGTCCTCTGCTGCAGGCGAGAGCATTGCTGGAGCCCGTGATCATGGGCAGAAGGGGTGCACCCTGTGGTGGACACACTGGACCCTGACTGGGGTGTGTGTGAGGAAGGCAGTTTCTGCAGAGCCCTCAGCTGGTGTTTCTCCGAGTACAGGATGCAAGAGCTGCATCAATTACCTGCACCAGACTCAGGTGGTTTTTCCTGTGTTCCCATAGGTGTGCTAAGTTTGGAGGAGTTCAAGCAGTTGAATATCCGTGATTTCCACAAGTACATGGGAAGCCAGAAAGTGAAGATGAGTGACTTGGTGCGCAACAGCCAGCACACCTGGCTGTACCAGGGCGAGGGGGCACACCAGGTCATGAGAGCCATTCGGCAAAGGTAAGGGCCAGGCAGCTGAGGGGAGGTTGGATTTGGGTAGGCACAAGCATCACCTGTGTGCTGCGAGAGGCAGTGGTAGACCTGCTAATAGTCACACTTTCTAATTGTGTGAAAAGTCATTGGAGTATAAAGAGCAATAAACAGACACAAAATGGAGAGAGGAGGTTTTCATTAGAACAAGAATTTGTATTGTCCTGTGGAAAGGGAAAAAGAAAAATCGAGCCTTTCAGCATCTCTATTCACTTTTGGGAACAGCCCTATAAAACCAGGAAGATTTGGCAGTATATGAAATCATTCATTCTAATTAGTAACTGAGCTTACTGGGAGAAACTGCCCATTTCCAATGCTGTCTGTGTGCCAGCAGTTACTGTCATTTGCTTTAGTTACTCATGCATTTCACTGAAATCTGTCTTTGCTGTTCGGAGCTGACTTTTTAAAAAGCACGACTTCACCTTAAACTAGTCAAGATAGTTTAATCCTCTGAACACACATATTGTAGGGCAGCTCATGGCAGATGGGAGAACCTTTTACCCTTCCCTTCATCTCAGATTTGATACTGGGAAGAGCTGAAACCCAGCATGAAGGCTAAATCATGTAGTTGTAGTGAGTTTCAGATAATTGACTGGAGACTGGCTTGTTCTTGTGGTGCTGGTCCTCACCCAGAATATGGGTGGGTAAAATCTGTCCTGAGCCCTGAAAAACAGCTGTTGGCCACTCCTTCAGTGCATTCCAGTGGGAAAATGGGATCACATATTGCCTTGATTAGAGCAGACTGTGGCTGCCACCTTCTCTGTGCCAGCTAGCCAGCACACATAGGCATCAGCATTCAGATTATACGCTCTCCAGCTGGCTGCTGTCAGGAGGATGTGAAGACACAGCACTGAAGGAGGCTGTTGGTCCTCCCTGGAACCAGGCAGTGCCTGCAGAGGCTTTGCCATCCTGCCCGGGTGCCACGTTCTCCTTGCACCTGCCCCAAGGGCTTCACCGGTCCAGATTCTCAGAGCTCTGAGTGTTCTTTGGCAGGTCTCAAGACGTACCTGCTTGCCTTGGGGATGATCTCAGATGTAGCAGTGGAAAAATCCCAGAGCAGGAGGGCTCCGGTCTCCTTGATCACTTCCAGTGCCCCTCTGCCCTGGGGGAGGCTGCTGAAAAAGCAACAGGGAAAGGTGAGTTAGGTGACAAGACTTCCTAGAGCTAGTCTCTCGTTCACTCTCAGCAGGGGCCCTGTGCTTTTCTAACTGTCCCTGAGGTCTGTAGGTGGTGTGCAGGAGTCCAGAGAAGTGATGAGATGGCACATGAATGCTCCAGGGACACGCACAAAAGGGATCTTGCTGAGCAAGCAAAGTCTTCCTGAGAGCAGTCCTATTAGAGATGCTTCCTTGGGTTTTGTTTTGTTTTTTCATTAACCTTGATGAGGGCTTTCTGAGCCAATGCTGATGGTCCAACAGACAGTAAGGACCTGGTTGTCTCTTGGCATGCTCGCTGCAGCCCATCCGTCTGTCCGGTCTTTTGGGGAAGGGGGTTCTCTTTCTCTGGGTTTATCTGCTTGGGGGTAGCAGCTGACTAGGGTGAGGGTGGCTTTCCACTCATCTGCTCTGCTCTTCCTCAGGGTAATGCGCCTGACTCGCTTGCCCCCCGAGATTGTGGAGCACAGCGAGCCCCTCCAGGTTGTGCGGTATGACCAAGGAGGGCACTACCACGCCCACATGGATAGTGGCCCTGTGTTCCCTGAGACTGCCTGCAGCCACACAAAGCTTGTTGCCAATGAAAGCGCTCCCTTTGAGACCTCCTGCCGGTAAGCTTTATCCTGAACATGTTAAGACAAGGAGTGTGAGGAGCCATTTCACCTCATCTCATCTCACCTGGGACTCTGTGGGCTCACAGACCAGCTCAGGACATCACTGACATGAAGGGGTTTTAAAGGGGAGGTGAGCAAATCCTGTGGGTCCACACATGGAAGATGGAGTGGGTGGGCCATCCCCAGCAGAGCCTACAAGCTCATTCACTACTCTCGGTAGGAGTTTTCTTTGTTGTCCTTGTGTTACTCCTGGAGAAAAGCTGATAGTGTAAATCTTGTGCCATGTGATGTCTTGGAGGAGCCACTGTGTTTATGGTGGAGGGGCAGGGCATGGACAGCCCGTGTGCATCTCCTCTTGCTCCAGGTGTGTCTTCTGACAGCCTCTGTCTTGCAGGTACGTGACCGTGCTGTTCTACCTGAACAATGTGACTGGAGGAGGTGAAACAGTCTTTCCTATTGCTGATAACAGGACTTATGAGGAGATGGTAAATGAACCTCAACTACATGTTACCCCTGGGGATTCTGAGTCCCTCCTTGAGTTTATTGTGGCTGCAGAAGGGGTCTGGTGCCTTTAGTTGGTATGCATTAGCATTTGTAGCTAGAGCATTGGGGAAACCGTGCTCCACTTAAAGTCTTTCCTCTGAGGACAGGAGAGGAGGGGCAGGGCTTCGACAGCTCAGCTCTCCCTGCTCAGAGGTGTGAGGTGTCAGGAAATGTGTTAAGAAATGGCATCTGCTCAGAAACAGGTTATGAACCTCCTGGGGCCTGAAACTGGTTGCTCCAGGTGGGTTATGAAAGCCCCTGCATCAACATTAAGCCATGCTGTGAGACTCTCAGGCAAGGGTGAGGAGCAGGACAACCCAGTGCATATGCCTGGTTCCAGCCCTGTTTGTGACATCTTCCCTATGGTTTCTCTCCAGTCTTTGATCCAAAATGACATTGACCTGCGAGATACTCGGAAAAACTGTGACAAGGGCAATTTGCGAGTGAAACCTCAGCAAGGCACTGCTGTCTTCTGGTACAACTACCTGTCAGATGGAGAAGGTACAAGCTCACTTTAAAACTGAGCTTTTGGGAGGGGTGGGACTGCAGTAGGTGACAGTAATCATCTCCTTGCTGCAGCTGGGAGCTCAAAGAACAGCCAAAAAAAGGGTGGTAGCTGCCAGCTAGTGGGAACTGTAAAGTCTTTTTGTCACCAGCTGAGTAGGAGCTTCCTGACTCTGAAAGGCCTTTGTTTACAGGCAGTAGGTCAGTGGCTCCTGATGTCTTTGGGGGACAGGACTAGCTAGCAAACAAAGACCTTGGCTGCACTCGCCATCACCAGCTGCCTTCCATCCTGCTGTGCAAGCTGAAACTCCTGCTGGAACTTGGTCTGCAATTCAGAATGTGTCACTGATGTGGTGTTGCCCAAAGGGGTGGGGAGGGGAGGTAGACAAAGGCACGGCCATCAGCTCTGCAGCATGAGGACACATGGGCCACCCCATGCCATGCTTGGGGCCAATGCCTGCTTTGTAGCTCAGCCGCAGCCCCATGATGTGTCCTTGAGGCTGTTTTTGTCATGAAGTGCAGTGTGGTTTTCCCTGACAGGCTGGGAACTGACATGAATCTTTAAGGCTGCTGGTGAGTATGGCTCCAGAGGGTTTCCATGGCAGATTTTGAGTTGTGGTGGGAGGAAGGGAGTGTAGCATCTCAGGTCCCCTGAGAGCAGCCCATGTTTCCATCTCTAGGAAAATCCACAGAGGAGGTCACAAGACCAGTGTTGGGGCTGTTGTATGGTAATATCAAGACCATCACTCTCCTGTGAGAAGAGCCCTGTTGTGTTTTTATGAGCAATTTGTTCCTAAATGGAAAGTGGCTGCTGAGGCAAGTCTGCCACAGAAAAACGATAGGATCATTGTAAACAGGTCATTTAGGACTGCTGAAATGCAATCTCTAAAACAGCTGCAAGCCTCTGGCTTCCACAGGCCTTCTAGTGGCAGTACCCATCTCTTCTGTGACAGCCTTCTTTTTTCCAAAAGAGCTGAGAAAAACAGATGCTGTGATCTGGATTGTGAGAGCCAGTTGTGCTGAGTGGAGAATTGGAGTCAGTGGGCCTTTTGCACTTGGGGAGCCTGATTAATTCCTTGTAGGCACTAGGGTGAGATGGCACTAAAATGGAGGGGTGCCAGGAAAAGTAACTCCTGTAAGTTGTATCTGAGCTCAAATCCAAGCAGGTAGTGCAGGAAGGAGAGATGGAATTGGTGTTCGCTGGCTGTATGTCCCTGTGTGGTCCCAGCGGGGCCTGCCCTCCTTTGCCACCGTCTAATGGGGCTCTGCTCTGCAGGCTGGGTAGGGGAGCTGGACGACTTTGCTCTGCACGGGGGTTGCCTGGTCACCCAAGGCACCAAGTGGATCGCAAACAACTGGATCAACGTGGACCCCAACCGCCGGCGGCAGCAACAGTTCCAGCAAGAGATGGAGCGCTTTGCGGGGTCTGAGGCGGGGGCTGGGGCCGGAGCCCCGGGCGAATGGACAGTGGACAAGGCCTACAGCGGGGTGCACCTGGAGCTGTAGCACCGGGAATGCTACCGCGCGCACGTGACCTTTTCCCGCGCAGGGCGGGGGGCGGGGCCGCGTCGCGCGCCAATAAAGCGTGAAGGCACGGGCGCCGCTTCCGCGTGCTCTGGGGGCGGGGTGATGGGGGCTGTCCAATGGGCAGTGGGCGGGGCGGTGGCACGTGCGACTCGGCCAATGAGCGCTGGGGGGGAGCCGTGGCGGGGTTGGTGCGGCTAAGATGGAGTCGATAGCGCTGGT